GCATGCATTATTCATTGATTTTCAATGCCCTTAAATATTCAATTATATTACATGGAAAACATGCATAAAAATATTCATCCTTTTTTTCATTCGATAGAAAATTACGTCTTCTTTCAATCATATACTCGAAGGAAGGAAATAATTTGGTTTTCAAAAACCTTTCCAATTCCCGAATAAGTTTGAACCCGACCTGCCATTACACTTGCATTCAGGTTTTCCAAACTACAAGCCGTATATTTTACGCGTGCGGAATACCACACAATTCTCTACGGTACTAAAGGGAGACCATATAGGTTTCATAAAATTTAGCAGTGGATTTGATTCATATTGTTAACTTTACAAGTCACATTGGTTAATGCAGAGACGTGACGTTTTATGAACGGCCATTTCACGGTATTTAAAAGTTCCACAATTAGAAACTTTTTTAAAACGGAATTATGTTCCTCCTTCGAGTACAGAATTGGAAGAAGACCTAATTGTCTACCGAATGAGCAAAAGAATGAACATTTTATACATGTTTTCTATGAAATATAATTGGTTTTTTAGGGGCATCGAATATCAATGAGAAAAATTCCTGTTACTCAAGTAGTCATTTTCTACAGAATGTAGATTTTGTATGCAGCCGTAAGAAAGTTCATTCGAAAGCCGGCACCCTGAATTAACTGAATTATGGTGGAAATATACTGCGGGCTGATTAGTTTTAGAACCGTACTTAATTAACCATTTCGAGTAGAGAACGCATTTCGGAATTTCGGTTGGCATTTCATGAGTTTGCCCGCCCGCTGTATATGTTCGTATGAATTTACTTTAAGGGCAGTTCACGGCGATCAGTCCGGAAACTGGAAGGGGGAGATAACAGATTAGTTTTGTCGTAGGGGGCATGCACCGATCAAGTTCTTAGGTGAAGCCCCCTCCCGTTGGACTTTGGGGCCCAATCTAGAGCCCTTGCCCACATAACTAGGGCTTATAAGCCGGAAATGGTCATCACATTTCCCCTTGTCTTCATAGTTATCCGATCTCACGGTCGTCATTGCCGTCGCCTTCGGTACGTGACCCGACCTCCGGGTTGCGACGCCGTGAAACCGATCGATAGTTCTCCCTTCACCGATTGGCCACAGCCGGATGAAGTTCGGGCGCGTGCACTTGGACCGACACACTGGCCTGGTGAGAATGCTAACTTCAGTTGCTTGCGAATGAGTAGAAAATCAAGATATTCGACAACTGACGGAAACCAATGCTTCGTCAGATCACGATCGTCTGAGGAACCAAGACAATAGTCTATTTTAGGGAACTTTCCTTCGGATGCATCTGCAGAGGACGTGCTTGTTCAGGTTGCAGATTGCATCCGTTCTAACCGTCAAATAATTCTGAAAAATCCATTTAGAGAATCGAACACGTCATCATGGATGAGAGGATATCTGAACGATTCACTCATGTTGCATTCTTCTTCTTAAAATGTCAATGCATGTTTTCACATTTGTGTTCTTTAAGGCCATTTACTTAAACTATGTGAGATATCCAGTTATAAACTGCAATTTACTAGGTGGATTTAGACCAGTAACTGTATGTAGAATTTTCCGAACACTCTAACAAGCAGAGTCACTCACAGATAACCTATGGGGTCATAAAACATGGACTGATTCTCAGTCTACGTTTTCATTTCCGTTAGGATCATAACGACGTCATTTTCGACAGAATGTGATTTATGCCAGGAAATTGTACAAGCAGGATAGTTTAAATAGCAAGGACATTCGTGCAGGGAAATGAAGAAACAGAATTTCTTCCCTGCCAAAGACGAGAGTTGCAGAATCCATGCTTTTAAGAGGAAACGAACCTGACAGGATGCAAGTCTGTAAGTTGGCGTTAGAACGCTTGGTTTGCTGTTAAGGAATCAGCAGTAACTGGTTAGATACTGGACATCACCAACCAGGGCTTGGGCTTCGTCTGATGGTCGACATGAAATGAGCCACTTTTTCTTGTCTTTGTCGACAACATTCCACCAGTCACTGATCTTCTATTGGCACATTGAGATCATTAGATTCAAACGGCTGTACCAAGACCCTGAGAAAACCACTGATCTCTTGCGAATAAACTGAGAACACAAGGTTTAAAACGTTTCAAGAGACTTGTAGATGCATACGCACAATAGATCGACCGTGGTTGCCTTCGATGCGCACCATGTGCTCCACAGCAAGATGAGGGCGGGCACGGTGGCTTGTGCCTGATTTAGTTTATAGTCAATGTGGACTTGCGAAGCATCTACTGCACTCTCCCCTTCCCCTCCCCCGTCTAGGCCTGATACCAAGGCATAGTCAAGAAGACCGGAGACGGGCGAGGGCGCAGGTAGATGGCCCGGTCGAGCCCGCACCTTGGCGTTCCATTCCACACACCCTGGTCCACACAGCAATGACCAGGATTTTGACGAACAACAACAAAGTGGGGGGGCAGGGTTCCCGGTGTCCGCGACGTCTACTGGCAACTGGGTCCGCCACCGCACCCCGAGGGTGTTGGCATTTGTTATGGAACTCATTCCGGTAACGCCTGTCAGGATCCCATATGGCCCCCGTATTGGTCCAGCGCATCTACCACGTGGCCCGTTTGGGAAGCACGACAGCTGTTGTATCCAGTTGGTCAACGTTTAGAATTCTCCACGCCCGCTTCGCAAGTGCTTTCACATTTGGCCCCTGTGACATTCCCCTTCCCCGTTTTTGTAACCCTCTTTTGAGCGTGATCGGCGTTCTTTTAATTAACTAGTTTTTTGTATCCTGACCTTGAGGCAGGAATTCGATTTGCTCGGATAGTAACAAAGGAATTCTTTACCTAGGGTATCCGTTGTTTTAGTTTCAGTTTATTTAAGGGAAACATAGGGTTGAACCTTTGAACTCCCCATTTTTTACAAGGAAGCGAAATATATAAAACATTTTAAAATGGAAACGTCGAACGGCTACAGAAGTTTTTTTTAAATTGCAAAGTTTTCGAAACCAGACAGATAACCGAATTGTTCCAAGTGTTTAAAACATTAACACTGCTACATGTGCTGCACAGCAGTCTGTCTATGGATAATTGGTGCGATTTCAGTTTCTGAGGGAGACGAATTGAATGCCAACACTTACATACATTGCTGAGGTTTGTACGTATTTTATTGTTACCTTATTCTATCAATAGTACCGTACATACACCGAAATCTGTTTTGGCTTATACGTATGACTCAGTTGACGAAGAAATCTACAACGGCGACAGTTCGACCGCCGATTTTGACGATGGCCACCGTGTTCTACACATCAAGTGCAGTAGGCAGGGTGACTTGCGCGTGGATTAGTTTATACTGACAGCGGACTTGTGCGGCATCTACCGCACTCTCTCTTCCCCACTCCCCACCTGGACCCGGTGTCAAGGCAGAGTCTAGAAGACCGCAGACGGGGGAGGGCGCAGGTGGACGGCACGGTCGAGCCCGCACCTTGGAGTTTCACTCCACACCCCCGGTCCACACAGCAATGACCAGGATTTTGACCAACAACAACAGTGAGGCTGCATGGTTCCCAGTGTGCGTGACGCCTGCCGGCAGCCAGGTCTGTCACCGCACCCCCAGATGTTGGCATTTGCTATGGGTTGCAATTACGATAACACCTACCAAAATCCGATATAGCCCCCGTGTTGGTCCAGCGCATCTACCACATGGTCCTTTTGGGAGTAACGACGACGACAGTTCGACCATCGATTTCGATAATGTCCACCGTGTGCCCCACAGCTGCAGCAGCGATGGGAGCAGGGACGGTGACTTACGCAGGGGTTTATAGTGCCAGTAGACTTACGTAGCATCTACCTACACTCTCTCCTCCTCCCCCGCCTGAGCCCGGTGTCAAGACAGAGTCAAGAAGACCGGAGACGAGGGAGGCCGCAGGTGGATGGCTCGGACGGATCCTCACCTTGGCGTTCCACCACACCCCCTGGTCCACACAACAAATGACCAGGATTTCAACCAACACAACAGAGATTTGAAGGCTAGTACGGCCGAAGCCGCACCTAACGACACACACACACATACACACAGCCTGGCGGCATGCATTGCTATGCAACAGTGAATCAGTGACTCCCCGATCTCAGACCGGTTCCTCCGCCACAGGCATGCAGCCCGCACCTGCCAGCTCCAAAAACTAACCAGCATTACCTCATCACGCTGACTCACAATAACAGACTATCATCGTTTATCCGACTGCTCACTGACTGAGATGGCTCCAAAACCAACGTAGTTTTGTTAACGCACCGGTGGTTCAGCACGTATCATGTGATTGGAATCACAGTTTTATGAACACGACTATATGGTCGCTTGCGAACCGCAATCTTTCGCTTTATAATTAAAGACAGACCCCCTGACTTGTCCGTCGTTGTAATGCACAGGTGCTCGTTGTTTTGTGTTCGGAATTTCCGTATGGAATGGGTCCGAGGACGGTCGGCGGAACAAAAGTTTAATTTACCTGAAACTTCTGAAATTTGCGCTGAGTCTGCGTAACACACGACAGTTCGACCATCGATTTCGATGATGTCCACCCTGTGCCCCACAGACTGCATTGTGGGAGCAGGGACGGTGACTTGCGCAGGGGGTTAATAGTGCCGGTAGCATTGCGCTGCATCTACCTACACTCTCTCCTCCTCCCCCGCCTGAGCCCGGTGTCAAGACAGAGTCAAGAAGACCGGAGACGAGGGAGGCCGCAGGTGGACGGCTCGGACGGATCCTCGCCTTGACGCTCCACTCCGCGCTCCCATGTCCACACAACAAATGACCAGGATTTTGACCGACAGAACAATGGGGTGGTGACAGTGGTCCAGTTGTGCGACGAATGCCAACAACAGGGTCCGCCAGCGCACCCCGCAAATGTTGTCAGTTGTTATTACGCACAGATAACGCCTGCCAGAGTCCGATGTGGCCCCCGTTTTGGTCCAGCGCATCTAACACGTGGCCCGTCTGCGTAAACAACCATAAACAAGCACATGTGCGGCCCATGTCCACAATCAGTCGTTCTGTTGTTTGTCCAACAGCGGGTTCGCGGAATCTGGCGATCTTAGCGGCATACGAGGACAGACAGGAAGGCCAGCTGCTTGTTCTCTTCTTTCTCCTTCGTAAATTGTATGTCCGGGAAGACAGCATTCAGACGTCCCTTGAATGTTAGCATTTAATGCCGGTCGATAAAGACGAAGATATTATCCACATACCGGGCCCAGAACTTCGGCCTGTGATGTTGGAAGACCAGCGAGTCTAATGGTTACAAGACCACCTCGGCGATGAATGCCAAAATCAGTGAACCCATTGGCCTGTCCTTTACCTTTTCGTAGATTGGTCCGTCGAACGTGAAGTACGTCCTGAAACAGAACTTCAGGAGCTGAAGGACTTGGGCGTGTCCAAGACGAATATTCGTTTCATCGTATTTGCTTTGTAGAAGCAGCTATGACGTAAATGGTAATGTTCTCACAAACTAACTAGTTATATCTCACGAGCCCTTAGCCTTAAAGGCAGCAAGTAAAACTGAGCACTGAATAATATAGAGATTCTAAACATTAAGTAAGCTGACAACACAGCGCGACAACAAAGCAGGCCAGCAAGGCGGATTGTAAAGGTGTGTTGTTTTTCGTCACATTCGAACAAGTAATCTGGGCAAAGAAAACGGGACTAAATTGCCAAAGGTAAATTAATCCGATGCCCCACCACAGCTCTATTGTCTCGATTGCTAGGTCCTGGGGAATAGAAGTAAAAAGGGATGTTTATCGGGTCTGGTGCAGTTGCGGACAAAGCAACTACGTCGGAGAAACCGGAAGACTGCTCCAAGCGCGAATGGTCGAGCACGCTGCAGCGGTGCTGACAAATGACGCCTGCTCTCAAGTTGCGGCTCATTCGACGGGTTTCGTCCACACATTCAAATTTGACGAAGCCGAAGTCCTCGCTAGATGTGACAACGGCGTGAGCAGGGAGCTGATTAAGTCATGGTTTACTGACCCCTAGTTCATTAACAAGAGCAATGATCTTCCCCTTCCATACTCGATGCTAAGACTTCGCCTAGGCGGAGTAATTAGCCACGCGGGAAGCGCACAGGTGAACACTTTTCCCAACACCCGGGTCAACGCGTCAGATGGTCGAGCAATCATCACGCCAACATCCAACGCACGTGATGAAATTGCAGCAATCGACGACGCGAATGTTGGCCATCAAACAGTCAGCACACCACGTGCACCGATCCCTGATGAAGGGGGAGTCATGAATATGCATATGTATGCGGTAGCATGGCGACTGCATCCTACAAATACTGCAGCCCCTAGTGCATGAACCATCCGTATCTGCTTATGTCTCTGATGATGGGTTCGAGCAGGAATCCCAAATGTCAGGTCAATAAAGCTCTTGTCCCAGCGATCGTGTCTCCTTCTTCATGGGTGAGTAAACTGTCCAGATGCAGATTACGTAGATCTGGCCTCGAAATGCAGATCCCAATCTGTTCCGTGTCTCTTGTTTGTGTTCTACTTAACTGTACCTGTGTTTCCCAAATTGCGGACGTCTTTGAGTGCAGGCAGTTATTGAAGAAGGGCAAATATTGCATATGCAAGCCCGCTGTGAAAATAGATCCCAGGGAATCTTGTAGCACGAGAAGGGTGTTAATAGTAGTTTTATTAGTAGGGCAGATATGAACGCCAATTAACGTAATATGCAGAAGGCACTGGGAAAATTCGCATTTCTGCCGGACGTTTGCTTTGTGATTTCAAATGAGGTGCCGAAACGGACCATCCAAATTAGGGGTGTGTAAACTGTGCACCTATCGCTGCGAAATTTCCACGCTGTACCTCGAACGAGGATATCTCAGAACGGAATAGCGTTGATCAGAACGCGGAAGGGTGCTGGTGTTTGGCTGAACATCCTTTACACGGACTGAGTAAATCAAACTCTAAAAACCACCAACTGCTTGTGTAGTGCGTACCTTTTCCTTCATTTTCCGTGGTTGTAAGAAGGTAATCATGCCTCCTCCACAGGATTTCTCTTACCCTCATTTGATACACACCTTTTGTGGAAAACCATGCCATCTTCAATGCGCGTGCTTGAAGAAGCTGCCCAGATGCATTATCATAAAGAAACGTAGGAATTCCCAAATGCGTTTGTGAACTCAAACAGTTCCTTTGCTTGTTCGCATGGTTGGAAGCTGGCTTGCTTTGAGTAAATTTACACACGCGCTGCTTACTTAGATGACTTTTGTTGGGTTCGACTGGAAAGATGTTGAACCAGCAAACATCACACTTTATTGTGTGGGGCAGCTTGGGCTTATGCGTCATGTTAACCAGCATAGGATGGATGACTTGCAACACTCATTGACTAAAGATCCGGGGTTTAAATCTCGGGTGTTCCACACTTGAGGTTGGGTGTGACTGGCTGATGACGGCTAATAAGTCGAAAATTTCCATCCCAGGCTCCCTTGTCTTTGTCGTTACTACCTTACCTACAGGGACCTCCATTTGGCACTTTATTCGGTAATTCAAGTGTCCTTGCACTCAATTTTAGCAAGATTATGGCTAGTGTTAAGCTTAGGAGTAGGCCTAAGGCTTCGGTTAGGATTATGACGCTGGATTATTTACCATTCCTGGAAATTATCACAAGGTCACCGTATCTCTTGCCCTGTTTTTCTAAATCCTAGGTTCTTGTTTCATTGATCTAGGCCCAGATGTAAGGCCTGATGGAAGAGTGAGGCAGCCGAGGAAACCAACATTGTTTTTCTGACATACCGACAGTTCGAGACGCATCCCTCTATCATCATAATATCAATGAAATAGGGGCCGCAGTTGTTATGATTTCGCCTGCCCAGCTGCCAGTCACCTTCCACATTGCCTGCTGATCGCGATCTTCTGCGTGATCATATAAACCAACTACTTTCTCCCTCTCTCTCGTCGTTGTCTGCTTTTCTGTCTACATGGACCAACTGTGCTGCACAGGCGCTCCCTGTTTTTGTGTTTGGAATTTCCGCAAGGACTGGTTCAAATACTGAAGGTCCCAGGCAACTGTCCCCGTCGAGGCCGCTAGGGGACGAAGCCGATCGGCAGAAAAAAATTTTATTTACCCGCGACTTCTGAAATGTCCCCTGAGCCTACATAAACAACCATAAACTGGCAGCTGTGCAGTTCCTGCTTACAATCAGTTCTTTTTGTCGTCTGTCCAAAAGCGGGGTCGCGGAATCTGGTACAGGTTTTGTAAACCTGGCCTCGATCTGCCGACCCCAGTCAGTCCCGTATCTCTTGTTTGTAGTCTACCTAGATGTAATTGCGCTTGCGAAACCGTGGGCGTCTCTGGATGCGGAGAGTTATTGTGGAAGGCAAGGATTGAATATGCACGCCCACGGAGAATGTAGAGCACAGTGAATTCCTTTAGTAGGGAAAGGATGCTTGTATTAGCCTCCATCTGAACAAGTTGTGAAAACCACGCGGCCTACGACAGCAAGGAGAAGGCTTTAGTACAATCAACGCACTAGCCACCTGAGCTACGAGGCCCACCGGGAGACGTGATATCAATCCCACTTCGGTTAACGTACTCACCCCCGGCGGAACCCGGTGGGGCCTCACAGCCCAGATGGCTAGGGCGTTGGCTGTACTAAAACCTTCCCCTTGCTATCATGGGTTCGAATTTCACCGACGCGCCGAGTTTTTCACAGTTGGATCAATATGAATTATTCAAACTCTGCCAAAAATCTATGAATTACGTAAGCCTGGTAGTCATCTGGTGGATTCTAGATGGATTACTCAGAAAAACCTGCTTGGGCAGTCAGCTTACTGTATCAGATTTGGTGGATTCCAGACGTTGCAGTAGGTTGGGCGGGTAACTTGACCCAAATGTGATTAAACTCGCGTCGTCCGGCGGGGCCTCGAAGCTCCAGTGGTTAAAGACTTGGCTGTACTAAAGCCCTCCCCTTGCTGTCGTGGGTTCAAATCCTACCGAGACACCGAATTTTCAGTGCCTCCGTAATTGTGTTCGCAAACTGATAACCGACTGTGGATGTGCGGTAGACCTGGCCACCATTTTGGACAGTCTAGTTGTGTTCTCGCAATCTTGATTCAAATCATCGCAAGATTTTTCTTCATGTATATGAATTCGTGCATATAACCGAACTTGTCAAGCCTGATTCCAACCAATCCAATCAAGGCTGATCCGCCGATTTCAGAAATTAACTTTGGAAACCCCACGTATACCATAAAACCTAAGGGATAGACTTAAAAACTCCAGCTGGGTAGCTGAACTAGCGATATAGGTGCTATTCGCGCTATATTTGCGCAAATTGATCAGGCGCTCTTCGACAAGACCTACAGGGCATTCGCTCGGCTCCAGGGCGTCCGTGGTTCAAGAGAGATTATCAACTGTGCAACGGGTCCAGGTGAAGGTACCGCAGGTGTTGAAGAATACTGGCACTCTGTCATATGAAGCCGGTCCGGCTGGATCAAATAGGTTTCGTCCTGATCCCATGTGACTGGGTGGCTACCTCATCCAGACCTACCAGACTGTTAGATGCTGTGAGTGCGTCCTCCAATTCGAGGACCCCTTTGGAAGGGAAAGTCTGCCTTGTCACCGCGGAGGACATTCGAGGAGGCACCTTCTTGCAGAGAGCTTTTGGGGCCTGAACCGAACTCCCTGTGACGGTTGCGTTTTCAGACATTGTCAAGGCATGTAAACGCAGACTTGGTGAGAAACTACTGTGCATGCATGGCGGAAGCTTACGACTGTGTCCCACACATAAATGACTTCACATAGTCCAGATTTTCCGTCTTGAAAATTATTTTATTTTGCTCTTTCGGAAATGAATGGGGAGCTAAAGGGCGGAAGTCACGTAGTAAAGTAACTGAAAGTGAGGAACGTGGCAGAAGAAAAGGGACTTTCAGATTAACATGCTCATTTTGCTTCCTGTGAACTGTGCCACCTTTATGACCCTGAAAACTGGCCAATGATTGGAACCGTCCTGTATTCAGTTTTGCAAATCATTGAGCTACACGAATGAAACATGCGTTGTAATCATCTCAAGTGATGGACTGTAAACTCGGTTGTCCATGAAAGGAAAGATGACTCTTAAGCAATCATATCGAATGAAAATACAATAGATGGGCTAGCTCATGAAATGTCGACCGAAATGACTACTCAAGTAGCATGCATTTTTCTCATTGCTTTTCGATATCCTTAAAAATTCAATTATATTTCATGGAAAACACGCATAAAAATATTCATTCTTTTCTCATTCGGTAGAAAATGACGTCTTCTTTCAATTATATACTCGAAGGACTGTATACTTCGATTTTAAAAAAGTTTCTAACTGTACGATTTTTTAATACCGTGAAATGGCCGCTCATAAAACGTCATGTCTCCGCATTTACCAAAGTAGCTTGTAAAGTTAACAATATGGATCAAATTAAATACTAAATTTTCTGGACCCTACATGACCTCCTCTTAATACCGTAGCGAAATATATGGTTTTCCGTACGCAGACAATACATGGCTTGTAGTGTGGGAACCCTTAATGCAAGTGTAACGGTAAGTCGGGTTCAGAATTATTCAGGAATTGAAAAAGTTTTTATAAAACGAAGTATACCCCTCCTTAGAGTAGAAAATTGGAAGGAGGCGTAATTTCTACCGAATGAGCAAAAGCATGAATATTTTTATTCATGTTTCCCATGAAATATAACTGGATTCTTCAGGGCATCGAAGATCAATGAGAAAAATGCATGTCCCTTGAGTAGACACTTTTTACAGGGTCTGGTTTTCGCATGCGGTCGTAAAGAAGTTCGATTGAAAGCCGGTTTCCTGGGATAACTGAATTATTGTATAATTATGCTGCAGGATGATTAGCTTTACAACCCTACTTAATTAATCTTTTGGAAACTTAAACGTATTTCGGAATTTCGGTTGGCATTTCATGGGTTAGCTCACCTGCTGTATATAAGGTTTTTTGCCTCTTCTCCGACCAAAAGAGTTTCTATTGTCCAGGTGTAGATAAAAGATTCTTCAGCTTTGGCTCTGGATCCCCCGAAAGCGGTTCTGCATAGGACTGAAAATAGGTTCTTTCACAACTTCCCCCGGTTTCATTATCTCGTCAGTCGAGACTGTCAGACAGGGTTTTCAAAGGCATTGCCTATTATCCTTAAAATATACTGACCTATTATATGAGAGTGGGGTTCATCGACCTGCCCTGACTATCGGATGGGATTTTTAATTCCCGTTTCGCCTAGGTATTCTGGATCTCATTTGACATTGATGGGGGCATAGCGAATAGCAATTAATAAGTCATAAATGCTATCTAAGAAGAAGAAGAAGAACACTGAGAGGAGGGAGACTTCACCGCCGAAATAGGAATTTTATCCTGCTGAAGTTTCCGACTCACTTTGGAGTGCAACATAAAAGGCACTGAGACAGACATTTTTGACCGCTGTCAGTTAGAAGTATATAAAGTACCAGCGGATGGCCAGAAAAATGGGCGTTTACAGGGGCTGTGAGACGTTTAGCACATATTTTAGGACAGCGATTTTATGAAGATCATTGCGTGACAAGCAGACTCCCTGAGAATGCCAACCAACATAGCATCCAGCGTAGCAAGTAGAGGGACGAAAATGACGAAGAAGACCTGACTATGATAACACCAGATGTCCTGAAGGACTGACTAGTGGTTCCGGCAAGTTAGCCCACCTTATCTCTACCATTCAGAATACTCACGAATGCAGGAAGTCACTAAGAAGGAAAACTGACAGGCAAGGATTAAGTATGTGGGCGGGGCAAGAAAATGCCAACTGTTGTTTAATTAATTCATCATCGTGTTAACACTCCTGCCTTACTGACAGACTTGTGCATTCCATCTAACAGTATTTCGAGTATTCTTTAACTGCTTGAATGCTCTTCGTGCCGAACTTTTTTGAAAACCGGGCTTCCCTCCAACTAAAGAATTACGTGTGGGGGTGCGGAACAATGAACCCACGTAGATATTTCCGCAGCACCAACTCCTCGGGGCGGTACAGGTGAACGAAAGGTCGACAAAAACTCTACGGAACAGCACCTACCTGTAAAAATATTATACGCAGTTCTCCACGGTTTTCCTCACCCCACGCACATACTTAACCCCTACCGACTGCCAAATCCATGTCACGACAGTTACGGACGCCCACAATGACGGCCCGGTGCCAGGCGGATCAAACATCAATACGGTGCAGCGAAACCCACTGTGTAGAGATCCTTTAGTCAGAATGCTTCCAGATGTCAACCGTACCGACTATTTACCTCAACCTGCTGTCTAATCTTAACCTTCGTGTTTGTAAACATGTGGGTAACTTAAATAACGCCAGGCATCCCCCCCGGTGTTTCGAGCAAACGACATTCCTGCCACTCAAACAATTTGACTGTGAACTGATTCCAGAAGTGGCTACTTGTACATGCCATGTGAAGCTTGGCAACAGTGCTGTTTATCTTAACCTTCTTCTGGTCCGCACGATGGACCGGTAATCACCGTTTACACCGTGAGTGCCCCAGGCTTGGACACCACAATAATCGCTTCCCCCCCCCCTCCCCACATACACAAAGAGGCAGGCAGAATCAAATCTAGTTCTGGATGACACTGGAAACGGCACTAAGTGGAAACACTCGGACTACTACGCTGTTACCAGATGAACAAAGTTGGCTGGGCCCAGTTTACAAAACAGTTAACTTTATGCCCTAATTCGCTCCCAACCCGATTTAACGGACACCCTAAATACAACACTCTGTGCGTATACTTGAACAGCAACAAATTTGACAGAGCTGTTGTTCCAGATTGAGAAATTGAAAATTAAAACTGGCATTCGTAACATATGTCCTTCACTGATAGGAGCAAATGAACATATTCATTTTGCAATGGTACTTTGGCGCCTGTATCGCAGTGAGAGTTAAAGTATCGATGAGTAATGTATACTTGTGGAATTTGCCAATAAATACCCCTGCCTACCTATGATCTTAGTTGAGAAAGGATCAATGAACTTCCGCTCATGTAATTTTGATTGTCTCAGATCGCAGACAGAAAGATCCAGGTCTGTGACTCAAGTGTCAGGACGTCTGACTCAATCGCCCGATGGTAAGCTGATAAGGATCACAATCTCACGTATTCCGATCTGTGGTTGACATCTGACTGTCTGGTGGTGGTGAATAACCTAGGGATGGCTACACTGGTCTTAAGGTTCTTCGTCACTAAGACTTTTCAAATCTGGTGTTTTTTCCCGAAATACAGCTCTCGGCAGCCTATGTAACTACGTACGACAAACCAAATACATTTAAAGCAAGCAAGGACAGCATAATTTACTGGTACCACAAAATTTCGCGACGGCTTCTCAACTGCTGCCGGTCGTTGCATAACAGAAATAACAAGTGAGAAAGGTACAAATGTTTGAATTTCGACAGAGAAAATCGATGTAAAACAGCAAGGTCAACGTGTACTGCGCGTAGACTAATCGATAAAATGGTAACTTCAAAATGCAGCATAGGAATGAAAATGGGGAACTAGGCATGCCGAGGGATTTCGAAACTCAAAAGGGGCTCGGATCTACCAGGGCAAGCTGAGGTTGACCACGCGGTCTAACTGTTTACATAGGTCGGGTTTCTCCCGCCGTATATAGGCTGCCTCCAGGTAGCGCAATAACCGAGTAGTTTGTGCTCGAACTAATACTCGAAAAGACGTCTTAGGGTCAACCGAATGACCACTATCAAGGAGATGTTTTGTAATGGAAGACCGTGGAGTCTTGTTCTCCTGCTTTAGAAGCCATTTAGGCAGGTGCTCAACTGCTCTGGCTGCCAGTTGCCTTTGCGTTCGCCCAATGTACTTGCATCCGCAACAAACACCAATAATTAAAGAACACATGGCTGCCGTAGCTGCATTGAAGCGGCATGAACAAATAGTAATTTCCAAGCCTGATAAAGGCCACGGGGTTGTCATTCTTAACCGGACAGACTACGTAAACCAAATGGGATCCATTTTAGACGATCCTAGTAAATTTCGTCTCGAAACGCAAGTGAAAGATGAAACCAAGGCAGTGGAAGAATCCGCCTGGAAAATAATTAAACAAATGTTGGACAAAAATCTAATTGATGAAAAAACCGTGCTATCCTTGAAACCGAGGGGAACATGTATCCCCAGACTATATGGATTGCCAAAGACGCATAAAAAGGACATACCTCTACGACCAATTCTGTCTATGTCTAATTCACCCCAACATAGACTAGCACAGTGGCTTGTCAAGGAAATAGAGCCAATACGACGCCTATTTTCAACTTACACAATAAAAGACAGTTTCCAGTTTATTGAAGAAATAAAGCATCGGAACATTTCCAACAACACTATGATATCTTTGGACGTTGCATCACTATTCACAAATGTACCACTGGATGAGACTATCGATAGTATATGCGACCATGCGTCTGAAACCCGCCTGTCCCCCGAAATATTACGTGACCTGTTGAAACTATGCACGAAAAACGTTCAATTTCTGTTCAATGGACAGATATACAGACAAATTGATGGAGTGGCAATGGGAAGTCCACTTGGTCCAACCCTTGCCGACATTTTTATGGGTCACCTAGAAGAAAAGTTCGCAGAAAAATTGAACAGGAAAACATTGTACAAAAGATATGTAGACGACATTTTTGCTATTGTTGATAACGACGATGAAGCCGAAGACCTACTTGTTGCCATGAACAGTCTCCATCTTAAGATTACATTCACAATGGAGAAGGAGCAGTGCAACAAGCTCTCTTTCCTGGATGTCCTCATGACTAGACAGGAAGATGGTTCAATCGAAGTTCCACGGGCGAAGGATGCCTTGCCATTGCACGCCACGTCAAATTGTGTTTACGAATTTACATGTACTTGTGGATGCAAGTACATTGGGCGAACGCAAAGGCAACTGGCAGCCAGAGCAGTTGAGCACCTGCCTAAATGGCTTCTAAAGCAGGAGAACAAGACTCCACGGTCTTCCATTACAAAACATCTCCTTGATAGTGGTCATTCGGTTGACCCTAAGACGTCTTTTCGAGTATTAGTTCGAGCACAAACTACTCGGTTATTGCGCTACCTGGAGGCAGCCTATATACGGCGGGAGAAACCCGACCTATGTAAACAGTTAGACCGCGTGGTCAACCTCAGCTTGCCCTGGTAGATCCGAGCCCCTTTTGAGTTTCGAAATCCCTCGGCATGCCTAGTTCCCCATTTTCATTCCTATGCTGCATTTTGAAGTTACCATTTTATCGATTAGTCTACGCGCAGTACACGTTGACCTTGCTGTTTTACATCGATTTTCTCTGTCGAAATTCAAACATTTGTACCTTTCTCACTTGTTATTTCTGTTATGCAACGACCGGCAGCAGTTGAGAAGCCGTCGCGAAATTTTGTGGTACCAGTAAATTATGCTGTCCTTGCTTGCTTTAAATTCATTCCGGGGAAATATTCTTTCAAACCAAATACAGACTGCTCATGCATAGCAGCCATTAGTTATCGCCAGTCACCCCTCGCACGCTGTTAAGTCGATTTTGCGGCCCCAAAGATAGTTTGGTGTCGGCAAGTTGGGTGGTTGCGAGGTCTTATCACGTCCAACTGGTCTCCGTGAGACCACGTCCGGACAGGCGAGAGCCACGAATGATCATAAACTGAACTCGTGAACACCTAGCATACATTGCCGAATTCGGCACCGCAGCTGAAGCATTTGAGCACGAGGTCGAATACCCCGTTCAACAAGCTCAGGCTTCCGACAACTGGTCCAGATTCGTCGGTTTCATATTTACAAATGTGGACGGACCCTGAGGAGCCAAATCGATATCACGACGATTAGGAACGTCCATGCGGGCATTTCGCTGCTGACGCGGCCTGCCGGTCACTGTGAGGGTGGCCGTGAAAATGCGGCATCACTGGCGCATCACTACCAGTCAGCCACCCAGACAGCGTGCATCTACTGTCAATCGGACTGATTATCACGTCCGAATTTAGCCTTCCAAGTCCTTTGCACTGGTGCTCCCTGAATTCCCTTCTGCTGATTTTCGCAAGGATGAATTTGGTGGCGACCTAGAGGCTCATTCCATGGTAACACCGGTGTGTTTGTCGACCTCATTCCGAGGAAGCACTCGCAAAATATGAGGTGTCTTCCGCTTGTCCATAATCTACCACTGCTGCTGCTGCAACTACTACTACTACTACTACTACTACATAACTTCGGCCATTGAATTAGAAGTAGCTGCAAGAGACGGGAAGTGCATACGGTTTGAGTCTTATACTTTATTGGATAAAAAAGAGATCTCGTCATCTAAGGGTTTCTCATGTGGACCAAAATCGAATTTTACTTTCATACTGTTTCCCATGCACGAAAACACGGAAATAAGACGCCACCACTGCCTCATCACGCTCATAACGTCAAACATCAGCCTTACATGCCAGGAATGATGAGGCAATGAGATAGTCAACATCCATTGTAGAGGGCCATCCTCGGAATTTTGCAGTAAAAAGTCATTTGTGGGGGCTCCGGCTGAACAGGCATGGAGGACTGTCTTCGTTGATGATTCTGGCGGTGGTGGTGGTGGTGATGCTCGTGGTGCTAGTGGCGGTGATGATGATGATGATGATGATGATGATGATGATGATGATGATGATGATGATGATGATGATGATGACGGTGTTGGTGATGGTGGTAGTTGGTGATTGTGGTAGTGCTGGTTTGTTGTGGCGGCTAGCGTCTCAAACTGGCCACGTGGTAGAGGTGTTAGACCAATACGGAGGCCATATCGGTTTCTGGCAGGTGTTATCGGAATTGCACACCATAACAAATGTCAACATTTCGGGATGTGGTGGCAGACCCGGTTGCCGACAGTCGTCGTTCACACTGGGACCCTGTCGCACCCCATTGTTGCCTTCGTTGTTGTTGTTGGTTAAGAACCTGGTCATTTGCTGTGTGCACCAGGCGGTGTGGAGCGGAACGCCAAGGTGGGACCTCGAGCGTTCCATCCACCTGCGCCCTCCCACCCCACCTCCGGTCTTTTTGACTCTATCTTGACATCGGGCTTAGAGGGGGAGAAGAGAAGCGTGCGGTAAGTGCTGCGCAAGTCTACATCCGCTATAAACTATATCACGCACAAGTCGCCATGTCTGCCCTTACCGTGTTGTGGAGCACACGGTGGACATCGTCGACAATGACGGTCGAACTATCGTGTATCGTGGCGATGGCTGTGGTGGTGGTGGTGTTGGTGGTGGTGGTGGTGGTGATGGTGGCGGCGGCGGCGGCGGCTGTGCTTGCGGCAGTTGTGATGTTGGTGTTGACGGCGGTGTTGGTGCTGTAGGTGGTGGCGGTGGCGATGGTAGTGGTGGTGGTGGTGGGTGACCTCACCGTCTTAGCAGGGATGGCGATGCTGATGGTGGTGTTTTGTGCGTTCAAAGACACTGGGTCCAAAGATATTCAACGAGACCAATCCCTGTCGTGAGGGGCATGATGAGGGAGACTGGCTGCTTGTGCTGTTAGTCCTCGACCATTCTGACCTGGCAGAAATGGGTGTTCTCAGCGGTGATGGTGATGGTGGTATATTTTGGTCTGCCCCCATGACGGGCCGCGCGAGAAATGCGCTGGACCAGTAGGAGGTCAGATTGGGGCGCGGGGATGCGTTATCCGAGCTATGTCCCCCGTGGCAAACAGACCTCGTGTCCACTCATAGCATCATCTGCCTGACCGGCTCGGACAGTGGACAGGTGCCTGGATGTGGATAGAGACTCTGGCGACCCCGTTTCCATGGCATTCTAATGTAGATGAAGTAAACAGGGAGCTATTATTCAAAACCAACACTTCCCGTAGGCCATGCTGGCTAAAGATGCGTCGTGGTAAAGCGATGGTGGGAGACGCGGTTGCTGGATTCAGCGGGACAATCTCGGGCCACTTTGAGTAGGCGTCAGCCAAGATTGGGTATGAGATTTCATTAAGTTGGCCAGCAAAATCGATATGCTCACATGACCGAGGCCTCTCCGGTGGTTGCCAGGGTGTTGGCGGTTGAGGAGGCGCCACTTTGGCGGCTTGTCGACATCGGGAATAGCGTCGAACCAGGTCGTTGACGCTGCTGTCGATACCAGGCCAATGAGCAAAACTGCGAGCAAGTGACTCTCCTGATTAGGCCCCCATAACGGGCTCAGGCCGCACCAGCCACCGGCGTCCAATCATTGCATCATCTGGCTGACAGGCCCCGATAGTGGACTGATGTCTGGACGCGGTCGACTCTGGAGACCCCCTTTTCACGGCACTCGGCGCATATTCCTCATTATGGTCAATCTGACGCGCTTTTAGACCGCCAGGGTGCGTCAAAAGTCTCCGATTGACAGGATAACCCGATCCTCCTCCCAGAACGGAAGGGCAGCCTACAACAACTCCTTCTGACAGTGGCCTCTGGGTCACTCCTACCCAGTTTGGGTCCGAAACGTCCCTTTCCTGCCTCTATGGGAACCCAGCCCGTCATGCGCAGACCAGGAGTGTGTGTGGCAAGCATTGACAAGCTCTTTAGTTTTCTCAGTCGCCTACGGTCTTCTTGACAGGTGGGTGGAGATGGAGATGCGCGATAGACACAGCGCAAGTCCACTGTCGATTGAAATCAATTCACGCACAAGCCACCGTCCCATCGCCCATTATGCTGCAGGTTATGCGGTGGGCACTATCGTTTTCGAAGGTCAAAATGTCCAGTACGGTGCTATTGATAAGAGGCGGGTACAGTAGATGGGCTAAATCATGAAATGTCAGCCGACATTTCGAAATTCGTTCCCGTTTCGAAAAGATTAATTAAGTAGGGTTGTCAAACTAATCATCCTGCAGCATAATTCTATAATAATTCAGTTACCACAGGATGACGGCTTTCGAATAAACTTCTTTACAGCCGCAGGCGAAAACCGGACTCTATAAAAAATGGCTACTCAAGGAACGTGCATTTTTCTCGTCGATTTTCGATGCCCTGAAAAATTCAATTATATTTCATGGAAAACATAAATAAAAATATTCATGTTTTTGCTTAGAAAATTACATCCTCGTCCAATTTTATACCCAAAGGAAGGGTATACTTCGGTTTTAAAAAACTTTTCCAATTCCTATATAATTTTGAACCCGACTTGCCGTTACACTTTCAATCAGGGTTCCCAAACTACAAGCCATGTATTTTCCGAGTACGAAAAACCATACGTTTCGCTACGGTATTATGAGAAGGCCATGTGGGGCTCATAAATGTAGCAGTGGATTTAATCCATATTGTTAACTTTACAAGCCACATTGGTAAATTCAGAGACATGACGTTTTATGAACGGTCATTTTACGGTATAAAAAAATCGCACAATTGTAAACTTTTTTAAAACCGAATTATAACCTTCCTTTGAGTATAAAATTGAAAAAAGATGCCATTTTCTACCGAAAGAGGGAAAGAATGAATATCGTTATGCTTTTTTTTATGAAATATAATTGAAGTTTTAAGGACATCGAAAATCGATGAGAAAAATGCATGCTTCTCAAGAAGTCATTTTTTGCAGAGTATGGTTCTTGCATGCAGTCGAAAGAAAGTTCATTCGAAAGCCTACACCCTGAGGTAACTGGATTATTATAGAATTATGCTGTATGACGATTAGTTTTGCAACCCTTCTTATTTAAACTTTTCGAAAGGGGAACGAATGTCGAAATTTCGACTGAAATTTCATGAGTTAGCCCACCTACTGTAGGTCGTGTTATCACTGTACGGGGTCCATAGATATCCAACTATGCCAATCCACCATCCCTCTCACCTCTTATCCCACAATACACAACATTTTGGCTATCAAGACCGATGACATCCACAGTAGTTGATTGTCTTCGACTCAAATGTTCATTGAAATTTCGGTTCTGACCCTAAAAAGTCATGTCCCCGAGATTTAACTCCAAGTCCTGTACTGAGTAATTTCTGGAATTATTCACTTGAATATCCAACTATGCCAATCCACCATCTGGATGACCATTGTCAATGCAGTGCTTTGGTGCTTGCGCGGTTGGCCTGGGACGCTTAAGGCTCACTGGTGCAGCCCTTTGTCCTGACTTCTACTGTCCTGCTCAATTTCGAAAGCCTAGCGCTGACGGAATTGGGAGACCAGCCTTCAAGCCGATACAGGCGTGAAAGCGGTAGATTGATCAGTCATCCTGTGTGGGGTTGGACAACGCCACTGTTAGTCTCCGCTTCATGCGTCCGTAAGGACAGCGAGGTGGATGCATCGAAAGTCTTCCTCATCGTAATAAACGAATTCAGGCCCCTAGGACTGTTTCTGACCAGGCGTGCATGGCAAACATAGAAGAGCTGTTAAGCTGTGTCTCGACAACGGGTTCAGGTGGAAGGAGGAGGAGGACAGAGCGCGGGAGATTCGCAGCAAGTCCACTGTCACCGTGGATTAATTCACGCGTCCATGCTCCCACCATGCTGCGGGGTATACATTGGATGTCATCGGTCGTGATGGTCAACGTGTTGTGTATTGTGGGATGAGAGGTGAGCTAGCCAATCCACGATCTAAAAGACTGTTGTCAATGTGGGCACGATGGCAGGGAGTGGGTGCTCGCCTGATTGGTCTGGGACACTTGAGGCCCATTGGTCCAGCGTGTTGCCCTGGATTCTGCTTTTGCGCGAATTTTGAAAACATGACGCAGACTGATTTGGGAGACCAGGTTGTAAACATTGGCGCACAATCAGTAGAGTGACTAATTGTCCCATGCCAGTCGGTCATTTGTGTGGGACTGCACATAGCCGGTCATCTGGTCATTTTCATCTGGTGGGTGTGGCAACGGATAGTGAGGCAGGTGCATTGCAAGTCCTTATAACCGTTATATATAAATTCAGGCGTAATTCATACACCGCGTCCTCACGGGAACAGTGGTGTTCCTGGACAATTGCCAAGGACGAATTATCTGTGCTTGCCCCCTGTTGTTTTATCAGGCGGTTCTACTTATTATTTCTATTTGAGATCTCATCTGGTTCCTAGTGACACAATTGTATACATCTTGTCAGTTATCGGCCTTGCGGTGGTGTGGGAAGGCCTCGCAGTGGGAGCTCGATCAGCAAATCGTCATTACTCAGCACAGACAAACTGCTTCTGGTTTGCATGAGAGGTTAGGAGACCGGATGCTGGTGCTAGCTGGATGAGGGCTGCCAATTGTCTGGCAGATCGGTGGTGTCTGGGGTCAAAGTCAACGACACCGCGGAGGTAGGAAAGGGTAGGGGGGGGGGGAATAGCGATCGTGAGAATGGATGTGACACTTAACTTTCAGTTGGTGTGCTATCTCATGAAATGTTAATAAAGATTCTGAAATGCGTTTTGGCTCTAATAGTTTACGGAAAATATTTTACAGAAAGCATGCCAAAGGTAATTTTTCTTTCACTCATTTGGTAGTGAATTACGTCTTTTTTAAAAGTTATGCTTGAACAAGAACTGTCTTCGGTTTCAAAAAGTTTTCACTTATGAGATTTATTGAGACCGTGAAATTTACATTGATAAAACATTGCTTCTTTGCTTTTATCAATGTTGCTTATAAGATATACAATATGCTTCATATCTACTGCCAACTTTATGCATTTTATGTAGTATTTTTTGATAACGCATCGAAATGGATGAGTTTCCTTTCACAAAAAGTATACAGCTTGCAGTTTGGAAGCCCTGAATGCCGGTGTAACGGCAAGTTTAGGTCAAAAATTATCCGGGAATTGAAAAAAAGCTTGTTAAAACCGAACTATACTCTTTCTTCAAGTAAAAATTTGAACATGTGATCTGCTACCAATCGACCGAATAAACAGATATTTTGTGCATGTTTTCTATAAAATGTAACTGCATTTATACAGTGAGCGACCGATCTTATGAACTGTTGGCCAAAATTCTGAAATGCGTTTTCGATTAAGAAAAAATACTTATGTGAGGCTGTAATAATGGTTGCCTTGCAGAATAATCCTACAATATTTCGGACTCGGCAGGATGTCAGCCTTTGAATACACTGCCTTTCAAACTCCTGTAGAGACCTACTCGGTAACAAATGACTACTTAAGTAGCATGCATTCTTCCCATTGATTTTCGATGTTCTTGCAAGTTCAAATATATTTTATAGAAATCACGAACAAAAATATGCTTCCTTTCAGTCGTTTGATAGGAGATCATGTCAACTATTTAATTTTTACTTGCAGAAGGAGTATAATTAGGTTTTATAAAAGTTTACTAATTACCGAATAACTTGGAGCAGTCATTGCACTAGCGCTTAGTACTTGTAGTCTACAAGGCGCAGGCGTTTCGCGTAAAGAAAATCACATATTCTTCCATGCCTTAAGAAGGATGTCATAGAGACTCCGTAAAATTTTGCAA